TGGCCAGAGGCCAGGGTATCTGGAGCACAGAAATGGTAGGTTACAGTACACTGTAAGAAGTAAGGTGGGCCGGATCGTGGGACATCTGTGGACCACTTTAAGAGGTTTGGATGTTATTGTAAATATGGTGGGAAGCTCTCTGACAGTTGCGTGTTGAGGACAGATGGTACCTAACATAGTTGGAGATCATCAGTGGAACCGCAGTGTTGAAAGGTTCTGCACGAGACAGAAGCCCAGAGTCAAGCGTCTCAGGGAAACACTCGGGGAAGGAGCAATAATGCTGATCACAGGAGTGGTAGTGGAGGACGGTGTCCACTCTTAGGCTCCACTGTGCCATCGCAGTGGAGATTGTAGCTACAGACGCAACAGAAATACAAGGGAGACAAGGATCGAGTTCAGTCACGGCTCGTGGAATGGGGAGTTGGTGCTCACTCCGCAAGAAGGTGTGGGTGAACGGTGGATGGAGTAGAGATTATCTTGGTGCTGTTGGGAAGTTTATGATACCTTCAAGATATTTCCTAGCTGAGTGGTTTGGGGAAGGTGTTAGATGGGTGTTTAGAGTGCATTAGAGCAACTGGAATTGCTCACCTTGCTCAATTGCCCATCACAACGGGGCTGCTCTCTTAGAAGAGGAGGTAGACAGGGAGATTATGAAATGCGCTCCTTTTCAGTCACGGGTTCCCATTTCGTGTTCATGGGGATGGCATGCTTTCTTTTGAATAGAGATTCTTTCTTCATAAAATAAGAGTTTAGGATGTTATAAGACATTTTGCAACTCCAACGTGTGTGTATACACACACACATGCACATATGATTTCAACTCGTAAACCACTGTTCTGTCAGGAACCATTCCTTTTACAAACCCTAGTGGAATTCTGTTCTTGGAAAGAAAGTATTTGTCGTGTGGCTTTATGACCAAGTGATGGCGACATCATTTTTTCTGAATGTCTTTATCCTTCTCTTCCTGCCAGTACCTCAGTAGTAGAGGTGAAGTCAGGGAACTCACTGGAAGCAGCATTGTTCCTCAATTGCACACTAAAAAGTGTTGTCTGCAATGCCACATATGTATCTATGTCAGTGAATTTGCAAATGCGAAGTCAGTTGAGTTCATGAACTTGATGAGGTAATCTCTGAGAGTTTTCAGGATCTTATAAACACATTAAGAGGTCAAATTTCAGAAAGATTTCTGTTGAAAGTACATATATGTTCCATGAACACCCAGGTCATAGCTCAGCTTAACATACTCACGGTTGGTGAGAATTTCTGTTCTGGTAAGTAATGGCATTTGCCAGCACGAGTGAACATAGGCTCTCTCTTTACAAGGTGCTATTATTTGCATCTTGTTTGACTTTATTGCTCAACCTTCTCTGACACCTGTTAGTCTCCTGTTTAAATGGCCGTGGAGGGTAGGGGTGAGGGCAAGCCATAGAGAAATGACTCAATGCTCTTCTTCCAGAGGACTCCAGTTCAGCTCCCAGTACCCGTGTTTAGTTTGCAACACCTGTCTTGTTGGCCACTTCACATACATCTGTAACTCCACTTCCAAAGAATCCAACCCAGTGTACTGTCACCCACGCACATGGCATCCCCAACATTGTATTTGTTTCCCACACCCAGCTCCCAAATAACCACAAGGAGATTGTTATTACACACAAATGCCCAGCCTTAGCTTGGCTTGTTTCTGGGCTTTTATCTTTCCCTAGTCTGTACACCGCCCTTTACTTCTTACACCATGGTTTGCTGTGTAGCTGTGTGGCTGACCCCTGATGTCAGCTCTCCTTCTCCCTTTGTCCTCCCTGATCTCTTCTCTTCCTATTTATTTTCTCTGCCTGCCAGCCATGCCTACTTCTCTCTCCTGCCCCACTATTGGCCATTCCGCTCTTTATCAGACCAATCAGGTGTTTAAGACAGGCAATGTAACACAGCTTCACAGAGTTAAACAAATGCGGCATAAAAGAATGCAGCACATCTTTGCGGCATTAAACCAGTGTTCCACAGCACAAACAAATGTAACACATTTTCAACTAATAGTCCACAACACATAATGATAAGCACATACATCATAAACAAAAATAAAGTAGACTTCTTACAATGCCCACCTGAATTTGCCTCTGTGCTGTTATTATTGAGCTCAACAAGAAAGCTATGAGTCAAATGGTATGGATGAAAATGTAATTGACATATCTTTTAAGTGAGCAAAGGAGGAGAGGCGAAGATGAAGAGGGAATTCAGGTTCTGCTGTGAAGGCAGACGTGTAACGGTGGAAGATGTCTTCTTTCAGAAGAGTAAGTTACTGTAAACATGCAGGCGAGACAAGCCCAGAAAAGACGTGAAGTTCATAAAGGTAGAGAGGAAGTTATCAGGAGCTACTGGGCCTAGGACATAATCCAGAGGCATGACTGGGGTAGGGGACAAAGGTCCTGTTAATTGTAATAGCAAGGACACTGTTTCCCTGCCCCTGTAAAGTGTCTGGAGTTGTCGTTTGGGTGCTTGTATGTTTTGAGTGAAATAACAAGCAAAAGTACCAGCAAGGAAAGATTTGAGAAGAAAGGCAGTCTGGCAAGCCAGGAACAAGGGTGGAGCGAATTAACAGGGGGGACAGAGGAATGCAGTGGGGTGTCGTTTACGTGCAGAAGGAAAAGCCACGCTATTGCACATGCGCATTACAACACATACCGATGAGGGCATGGGAGCTGAAAACAGTGCACGCTGAACTTGGTCCTCTAGTGGAGGAAGCAAGCAGCTGAAGCAAGTGATAGCCGTGGGAGAATGGCTTAGAGGACACATGGCTTCCCTAAGAACATTCCGAGAAGGATCCATGAGAAGGGATGGATCCAGAAGCTGCTCAGAACTGCCCCCGTCCCCATCAATAGGGACCTTTGCCATCACGCATCTCCTGTGCGTCGGACTGTCCGGCCAGTCTCTTACAATTCCCTTGCCACACACCCCATGTGGTGTTGTTCCTTTCATCTGCTATCCTCGTGAAGCTGTTTCTGGCAATGTTGTTTGAACACCTGTGTCTTTGGGCCTCCTTTTCAGCATTTTCTGACACGCCAGCCTGTCCCATTCATTCTGCCACCGAAGCTGTGGTATCAAGAGGAGGTTTCCCATGGTTCATTGAACTTCTGTTCAGGAAGAAATGTCAGTCATCTTCTTGTAAATATTTTCCTTGAAGGCCCTTGCGCTTTCTTGTCCTCTTTTCAAATTCGTTCTTTCTCCCCATAAAACTGCACTAATATCCTATGGCTATGGAGCCGAGGGTGAGAGCTGGACAGGGTTGAAAGGGACCTGCCTGCTGTCATTTCTCTGAAGAATGCTTTTCTCAACTCTGCTGTTTCCACCACAAATAAGACTTTTCTTTTATTTTTTTTCTTATTTTTTTATGGTCCTGAGTGTTCTTTCTCCCCAAACCTGCAGGGCCAGGTGCCCTACAGTTACACAGCCAGAATTCCAAAGGAGTGTAGTGTCTGCTTCTTGGGCTCTCAGCCGTGTGCAAACAATTATGTGTTTAAGACAGGAACTGCTGATTACTGCTCAGAACTAGGACAATTATACAGAAAATAGTCTTCGAGCATGCACTTAAAGATGTTTTAAGGATGATGGGAGGAATTTCTCCTTATGCTGACTGCCCAGGAATAATAGAAATTAAGTTGTCAGCACGAAGGAAATAAATATTGAAATTGTCTTTCTTCCTTTTGATATGGCTTTTAATTGGTATGTGTTTTCTTTGCTTGATCATCTATCTCTGCTGGGCTTGGAGATATTTGGGTCTTATCCTATTACAGTTCATTTCTGTATATTCTTGTTCTCCACCAAAATATGGTATGAGCCATGACACTTTTTATGAAATATTTTCAGTCTCTCTGCCTGGTTTTCCGCCTTCATCCCAAACAGAACACCTTCCCAGCAACGACTTCTGCCATCTCACTTCACTCCTGTGCCCACCTGTACACGCAGGGTGCTACTATAACAACCAGAGTTTATTCTTTAAAGTCCTTGTTAGATATAAAATAAAATCTCTGACACATGAGATCAAAATGCAGTGGTCTTACTTCTTTATAACGCACTGAAACAAGGCCAGAAAGGTGTGCCCATTTCCCAGTCATTAGCAGTGGCTGGAACCTAACTGCCACTAAATAAATAATTGTTAAAAAATGATGAAAACTTCCAATATGCATCCCTGCAGTTAAATTTAAGGCATGTACCAGCATGTTCAGAGCTGCTTGCAATAGATGGATCACATGACATCTAAAGAGCTTGCCCTTCAAAGTTTGAGTAAACTTTTTATTCAAACATTAAAACTTGCTTAGATTTTTAAACCCTGTTATATGTGAACATGAGTTAAACTAAAATTCTATGCAAAAAAAAATTGTAGGTTTGTTTTCCGCAATCACATTCTCTGCTTGCTGCTATCCAGGATGGCTGGAAAACAGTTACACAGGTATCGACCCAGCCAAGTAAGGAAGACATCTGAATAATTTTTTTTATTTTAAGTCTAGTTTCTTGTTTACTTCTTATTTAATTATATTCGGGTCCAATAAAAAATATATATGCCCTTCCAAAATGGTAAAGATCATTCATATTTTTAAACTTCAGAATTCTACAATGGGTATTTCTGTATTTTACAATTCTATTTCTGAAATACTGTCATAATTCGATCCTATGGGCACCAGAGAATTAGTTCTAAAGAACCACTACCATTTAGGTTGGCGGTTTTATAGTGGTTAGTATTTGCTTAAATTTGAGTTTGAAGAGGTTTCTACACTAACGTCAGCCTTTCTTGAGAAAGGGTCCGTCTCAAGTTTACTTATATTAAGTAGACTTTTGAACTACATCCTTATGAAAGTTTTGTGGCTTCCGTGGACAAGATTTATCCACCTTCTTCCCTTAATGCTTCCAGCACTTTCTAGCTCAAGTTGAGGTATTAAAAATGAGAGTATGAGTTGAATCTGTTGCATCAGGAACTATTGACTTCTGAACCCCTGAACACTCTCTTCTAGCTGCTCTCGAAATCTATTGAACAACTGAAGCAACCAGGCAGCCATCTTGAAGAAGCGGAGGAGGAGCTTCAGGGGGACCAGGCCATGGAAGACAGAGCGACCTCTAGCGAGCACAGCACTGGGAGCAGCCGTGCTTGTGTGGAGGACACACTGGGACAAGTTGGGGCTGTGAAGGTCAAGGAGGAGCCAGTGGACAGCGATGAAGATGCTCAGATACAGGAAATGGAATGTGGGGAGCAGGCTGCTTATATGCAACAGGTAATAGGCAAAGATTTAGCTCCAGGATTTGTAATTAAAGTCATTATTTGAACATAAATGTGTTGCAGATTTTGCTAAATGCTTATCATTACCTATCAGCATATATTTCCAATTTTAGTGTTTAAGAATTCTAAAACAGGTAAAATGATGTTTTTTTTTTCTTTATAAAGATCACTCTATACTGATCTCTGAATGAGTATGGGTATCAAGGTTTCATTGAACCTTTACTGGTAAGAAAAATGCCTGTTACACTAAAATTATGCTATATAATATCCAGGAAATTAATAGGCTTTAAATCCATCTCAAAGCCTGATACAACAGTTACTTCTAGTGAAAATGAACTCATGGTTGTTTTTAGTTTTATCTGCTGAGGTCTGTGAGCACAGAATGTAGTCTACAGCCTGATCAATGAAGCATTCTATTAGAGATGATGTTTTTTAACATATAGAATTCATTTTTTTCATACAACTGTACATAGTGTATCATACCATAGTCTTGAACACTGTTGAAGGTAGTCTGCTCCCTGCCCCCTTTCTCTCTCTCTCTCTCTCTTTTTTTTTAAGTAGAAACCTGGCTACTGTGCCAGCAGCTCTAGGTTATTGCATAGATCACAACTGAAAACCTTAGCCATTAAGGTGGTTTTGAGCAGAAATGCAAGCTGAAGTTCCGTTTTGACCATTACCTTATGTCTGACACAGCATTGCACAATGCTTAAACCTTGTGTAAGTTGCTGATGTTGAGTTCTGAAACGGAATCCATGCAAATGCTGTCGAGAAGCGGCGTGCAACCCTGTGCTCCACGCAGATGCTGCGATGTATGCACAGCTGCAGAGAATGTAGTACGATTACCACCTGATACGAAATTAAAAGCAGGCTTACAAGAGGGTGACTCACACTGACGCCTGGTATCCTTAGGATCTCTCACATACCGTGGTATATACCACATCATTTTGAGAAATAAATAAAAAAGCTGAGTGTTGGTTTAACAAGACAAATCTGCTTGTATATGATGGCACTTCCAGAAGGACCATGTCCTTTGATGCTGTAAAAGCACAAACAACTTTGAACGCAACAGAGACCGAGACGATGTTTATTTAAGTCAGTTCTTTGTTAGGGTCCTGCTGTTCTACAGAAAAGCAGTTCTGTGAGGGGACAGGAAATGTCTCGTGGAAACAGGAAGTCCGAGTGACTCATGTTCTGGGGAATGTAGGAGAAACAGTCCGAGGGTAGTGTTCTACTCTTTCAGTTTTTAAAGGGTATTCTATGAACTGATTTATTGGCTGGGAAAATCCCACCATGAGTTGGGAAACCCTTACGGAAGCTATTGGCTAGAACGTTTTCTTCATATTCCCTTTTGATATGTTTGCCTTCTTTTACGGGTTTACTTTTGTTAAGCTAGTCAAACGTACGCTGTATTAAGACCCCTTTGGTATGGATAATCCAAATTGACCTAGAATCTTCCTGAGGATTTTTTCTATTAAAATATTTATATTCCTTGATCCCTACTATTTAAGGTGTAGTGTAGTATCCTGTTTCAGGAGACAGCACTTTTGCCAAATGTAGACATGGTTCAACTGTATGTTATTAGCACGTGTTGTTTACAGTTCGCTGTGACATTTAAAACTATTTCTTTTAAAATGTTCCTGCTAAAGATACATTATCCTTTTTTAAAAAGTCTCCATTTGAATTAAATTAACATAACTAGAGTTAGAAAGTTAAAAGTTTTTCCACATAATGAAAATCCTTCTGATAATTTGACAGCTAGTTCTAATAGGTAACTCTCCCTATCACCAATACGTTTGGGTTAATATAGTCCTTCATATTAAAATGACTGTTGTCAGTTGTTTTGCATTAAAAATATGGCATGCCTAAGATAAAATTGTATATTTTTCCATCTCATAAATATTCATTTTCTTCAAATTCCTTTTTCAATCTCATAAAAAAGGGATAGTGCATCTTTTAAAACACATTTTATTTGGGGAGGAACACGTGGCTGAGCAGACTTTTGTATAATATTTCTTCAAAGATATGTGATCAAAAACAAAAAAAACTATTTTTTATAATGTCATTGGAGAGAACTTCATCAGTACATTTGGTGGACGTAATTGTTTGAATTTGATAGTCTTTGAATTTAGTCAAGAAACTACCTGGAACCAGTAAAACGAAAAGCTGGACATAACTAACCTTAGAATTAACCGATAAATGTCTCTTCTAAGATCTACTGTATTTATTATGATTTACACCCTTGGAGGTGATATCCTGTTTTGTGTTGTAAATATATTGTCTGTATGTTTCCCTTCTTGCCTTCTGTTATAAGTCTCTTCCTTTCTCAAATAAAGTTTTTTTTAAAAGATCCCTTTTCATACATTTGGCTTTGTGTAAAGTTGATATGTTTAATGGAATTTGAAACCTGTACATTAGATCACATATACAAATTTCCATTTTTTGTTGAAACAAGAAAATGAAGGTATTTTGAAAAGTTGCTTCTAATACCATTTAAAATAACATAAAACAATAACAATATTGAACTATTTGTATCAGTCATTATCAACCAGGAGATAGATGTAAAATCAGTTGCATGCTCCATTTTCTAGTGTGGCCTTTTAAAGGGTGTGTTATCTTCCTTGGTATTTAAATTAAAATGTCATCCTCTAAATATAAAAGAAGTATAAATAGTCCCTAGCACTATTCAACTTAAAAATTATTTTAAACTTTTAACATGGGCTGTCAAGAGCTCTGCGTTAGCTACAGGCGTGTGCTGCTAAGCCTGACAACGTGAGTTTGATTCCCAGGTCCCACACGGTGGGAGGAGAGAACTGAGTCCTCAGACTGTCCTCTGACAACACATGGGCTTTGGCACACGCGCACACAAACAACACAAATGTAATTAAAAATTTAAAAATAAGCTAAATATGCTCCCTTGAATATAACAAGCTCTCAATAAACGTTAAAACGAATCTTTTTGCAAATACCTTAATGCTGTCAATTACGGTGAGATTCCAAACTGCAGATAACAGTAACCGTGAATACACTTAGGGAGAAGAGGGACGGAACACTCCCCGTGTATGGTGGCAGTTATTGCGATGCTGTGTGAAGAGCGGCAAGCCAGATAAAGCAAGCTTTCCTGTGCGCTGAGGTAGTGTGAGGTGATGTGGGCCAGCCCCGGACTGTCCAGCTTATTAACCTTCTGGTTTGTTGGCAGCAGAACTTACTGTCAGAATTTCAGAATGTGCTACTGTGTGCTGAATTAAAGGGGTTAAATATGATTTTTTTAATGTCCTCTGGTTCGTTTACATTGCCCTCTATATATTACTCTATAGTACTGTCATGAAAGTTAGTGTTTCTGGAGGTCAGAACCATATGGCTGCATATTACATGAGATATCATCCTGCTGGCATTGGTGGAGGTGGAGGCTGAAGCAGAGCTTCCTGCTTTTCACAGAAATGAACAGTTGTCTGTAAGAATTTTTATATTCATCATACTTAGTGTTTGCCGAAAAGTATTAAAAAGGGGATTCAAGTTCAACGTATTTTTAAATCTAGTACCTGATTCATAGAGATATTAATAGCATAGTGGCTCTTAGATTTTGTGTTTTTTTTCAATAATTGAAACATGTAGTTCTAAATAATTGTGTATGGGTAAAAATAGGTATACAGTTAACGATCAAATAATTCAAGTCTGTAATTGTAGCCACTCCCAGTGAAGAACTCAGAGGTAGAAGAGGACTTGGAGATTATTTCCCTTTATTATTAACTTCTCCACACCCAATTTAAAGAGAAGAACGCAGGGCCGGACAGGGGAGGGAGTCACAGAATGTAGACAAATATTAAGGAACCAGAAATGCGGCTTTTGAGTCAAGCCAAGACTCTAAGTTTTTACGTGTTTGTATTCGTATTCCTAGCACAGTAACTTCCTGGAGTCTTAGCAAATGTTTAGACAATGCCATATTCCTGCATCTTTTTGATGAAATGGATTTTCCTTTTAACTATGGCCAACTTAAATGCATGAAGTGTAGTTGCGAGCACCTCGAATCTATTAACCTTTTCCATCCACCTGTGCCACGGGCACTTAGGGTGGTTATTGCATGAAGCCATCCTGGCAGAGGTCGTCCACCTTTGATGGGAACCTGGGCAGCCCTGACTCCTGTGCTGTGCGTGCAAAGATCCCTTTCTACATATCCAAGATGCCTACCCCCCACCCCTTATTCAGCTGCTTCTACAGTTCTCATAGTCTCCTTCCACCCAGATCTCCCCATTGCCATCAACACTAACTGATTCGAATCAGGTCTTTACATCACTACTGTAAATGACAAGTGCCGAGTGTTTCCCTAGTTCAGAGATGAGAGTTTTGTGCATGTGGTTTCATCTTGAAATGCATCCATGTTTCCTCATGAATATGTACGTGAGTTCTGGGGGTCCAGTTTAGGTCCACTTGTTTGCTGTGGAAGCTTTGCTGTCTGAGCTATTGTCCCAGCCTTATTTTTCATGTTTTATGGCAGTCATGATAACAGCTGGGAAGTGCTATGATTCCTCAACTGATTTCTACTTTTCCCTGGGCTAATGATCATGAACATTTTTTTCCATTTGCTTATTTTCCATTTGAGGAACTTCCTTAGAAAATATCTATTTACATACTTAGTATTTTAAAATTGTCCTTTTGTTTTTGGTTGATAAGTACATATGATTCCAATTAAAATGTCACTCCATCCTGTGATTTTTATAATTTCTTTGATAGTGTACTTTGACTATCAGACACTTTCGATCTTACTGAATGCCAGTCCACCTTTATTTCCTCTTATTTACTATTTATAATTTTATTTATTATTTATAATTTCCTTGATAGTGTACTTTGACTGTCAGACACTTTGGATCTTACTGAATGCCATCCACCTTGATTTCCCTTGGTTGCTTATGCTTTAGATGTGGTTGAAGAAGCCATCTTCTGATACGAAAGCACAAAGATTTACTCTTATGTCTCCTTCTACATATTCTGCAGCAGGCA